CACCAGCCTTTGCAAACGCTTCCAATAAAACTTTACTTCTGACTAACCCAGAGAGAGATTTGTGTTGCTTGTTTCGCACACCATTTATGCCTTCACACTACCTCCCACAATAATCTGTGAGCCAACTCTTTCCTTCAAGTCACTGCTCAACAGTTTCATGAAGACTTTGGCATCAGCAGTTAAGTAATCTGATGCTCCCCAGCTGTTACAGATGTAAACATCCGCTCCAGGTAACATAGCTAATGGGGGTAGCAAAACCCCTCAGAAGTACTTGCAGAGATCTGTATATATGTACTCAAAAATAAAGCCTGCCAAGTTCTATGGGACTATCGCCAAATAGTGTGGTATAGAAATGCAGTCTAAGAGCAAATGGAAATAAAAAACCTTCAGTTACATTGGAGTTATACTAATGACATAGTCACCAGTATTTAATATTGCTCTATTTAGGCAAAATAAAAAATGCATCCTGAAGTCTTATAACAGTGTGGCTAAAAGCATTAAAAAAAGCTTTAATTACAGTTGAGAGCTCTTTGACTCCAAATAGATTTCCACTTCTGCAAAGTGGGAGAGCAAATTTGAACAGCATGAATGTAATCAATGAAAATAGAAACTCTAGCTCCTTCGTACTGTGAGAGAGCAACCCCATTAACTTTTCTCTTGCTACAGGGTGATGGATATGATCTCTTGGTGTGTGCACACTTTCAAGAGCAGAACATATTAAAACTGCTTTTCCATAAAAAAAAAGAAGTCTGGGTGGCTTTGGAAAGTTAATGATGTTTTAATGGTAGTGAGGGTTGCCATATAGCATAGTTAAAGTTTTGGTTTCTGGATTGCAGTAGTTTCATTGTTCTCATGCAAAACCTATATACAGGTCAGGAAGCCACAGTCTGGACCGAACATGGCGAAACAGACTGGCTCCAAGCTGGCAAAGAAGTGAGACAAGGTTGTATACTCTCTCCTTATTTATTCAACTATCCGCTGAATATATATTAAGGGAAGTTGGATTGAAAGAAGATGAACATGGTTTTAAAATGGGAGGAAGAAACATCAATAACCTGTGCTATGCGGATGACACTACTGTGATAGCCAAAACTGCAAAGGATCCGCAAGCTCCAGTAATACATGTCAAGGAGCACAGCGAAAAAAAATGGGCTAACATTCAATATAAAGATGGCCAGACTAATGACAAAGGTACAACAAGCAGTCTTAGAATTGACAATGAAGATATCCAAATGGTAGATAGCTTCTGCCTTTTAGGATTAACCAGAGGTGGAAGCAATGTTGATCAGACACTCCCACAGGGACCCCTTCATCCTGCACTTCCCGTTGTAAATTCAGGAGAGGATTTGTTTCCTCCGTCGATTTATGGGCAGAAACCCCATCGCTTCCTTCACAACTGCCGCCCCCTCTTTCCCACCCGGCCTTCCGCTAGCCGGATAATCGGTTACAACCACACACGCCACCTTACCACTATCGCTTTCCTTCAATTCAGCGCCGTGGACTTTCGCCACCCCACGTGGACCGACCGTAGCAGCCGCCATCTTGCTTGTTCTTTCCTTTAAGCGATCCGGGGAAAACACACAGTCGCCACAAACGTTCCGGGCAGAACCAACTCTCTCGAGAGACCGACCGGACGGGGATGAGTGGGATTTCTGTGGGCGAGGGAAGGCTTCCTAAGGGTGAATGTTGCATCCACGTAGCGCCCACGTTTAATACTGGTTGGCAGAATGCAATAGCGATTGGAAGTGGTCTTTTGCTAATGAGGAAAGACAGTGGGATCTGGGGGAACCTCGGTGTTTCAGCAAAATGTACCTCCTCCAAGAGAGGAAGGTACAGGAAGAAGCATGCAAGAAGGGGAGGCTCGACAAATGCAAGAAATGGACCAAGAAGCCCCTTCTATGAAGGATTGGCAACTCTTGTGGAATTTCATTCCGAATAACCGGACTCATGGGTTACAGTACCATAATAAAGCGACACGGCCTGCTCTTGGAGCTGCTGGCTGAGCTCGGTGCCCGGAAAGATGTAAAAAATGCCTGCGGGAACACATTAAAAGGAGCCATGATGGGCTTTGTGGGGATTTAATGGAAGGCGTTGCAGGAATCCACTTCCTGCGGGTTGGAAACCAGACTGAGTGCGGCCCCGTACAACAGTGTTTCTCAACCTCAGCAACTTAAGATGTGCGGACTTCAACAGGTCTTAAAAGTCTCTGAGGGTTAAGAAACAGATCTACCACACAGGCGCATTTTAACGGCTAATTGTCCATTTTAAGCGCTAATATTTCATTTTAAGTGCTAACTACCCATTTGAGTGCTAATTTCCCATTATAAGGGCTAATTTTCAATGGGGGGGCGGCGTGGGCACCCAACTGAAAACCCCTCAGGCCGCCCTCCTCTTCCTCCCCTCTCGCTCTTCCGCACGCTATACGGACTCGTGGGGCGGGCGCGCGCCCGTCAATCCCTCCCTCGCTCGCGCGCCGAAAGAACGTTTCTGGGCGCGCGCTCGAAAAGGCGGGAAAGCGGGAGGGGCGGTGCCCGCCGGGAGGGAGAAAAGCTCCTCGCGCGCGACCTCCCTGACGCCCCTCCCACTCCCGGCCGGGCCCGAGCACGCTCGAGTTGGAGCGTGAGGAGGCGCGCGCGCGCCGGAAAAGCATCAACAGGGAGGGAAAGAAAGAAAAGAGAGAAAGATGAGGCCCTCCCGCCCGGAGGTTGCCCAAAGCAGGTATCGTTTGAACGTCGAAAGGCCGGCCAAGGGTGTAGGCAAAGCAGCCGGCTTCGGTGGAACGAAAAGAGTGAAGGAAGAAACAAACAATCAATCAATAAATAAGCCGGGGAGGTGATTCGGAGGGAGGGGAGGCGGGAGAAAGAAGAGCCGGATATAGGGCATGCGCGGGAGAAGGCGGGGGGAAGCAAAAGCGGGGAGCGCGTGCTGTGAAGAGCCACGCGAGCGGCGGCGCGCGTGCGCTGGCAGCGGTTCCCGCTCATTGGACGAGGGGGCGCGTGACGAAGGGAGGAGCGGCGCGTGGCGCTGACGTAAGCAGCAGCCTCGGGAGGGAGCGGGAAAGGAGCGGTTGGGCCGCGCTCGAAAATTGTCACGGCGTGGTGTAGCGGTGGTCGTCCGCTAGGGGGCAGCAGCGCCAATTCCAGCTGAAGCCCAGCCGGTTTTAGGATTTGGATGGGAGATTTTCCCTGGGCTGGGAAGCTGGAAAAATGCCTAAGAAGAAAGCAAGGGCCAAACCACTTTGGTATAATTTCCAAGAAAACTGAACGTAGTCATGGAGTCCCCAAGAGTCAGCCTTTTTCGAGGAGACTTTACACTGATGTAGAGCGCTGTTTTTCAACCTTGGCCCCTTGCAGATGTGTGAACTTCAACTCCCAGAATTCCCCAGCCAGCCAACTCCAATTCTGGGAGTTGAAGTCCACACATCTGCAAGGGGCCAAGGTTGAAAAACGCTGGTGTAGAGGTTAAGATACTGGTTGGGGATTGGGGGTCCTCTGATTCAGATTCCCACTGGATCCGGAGGCCAGTGCCAGTATCTCAGCCCAACCTGGCTCAACGTGTTTCGCTTTTGTGTACATACATTCCCATCCCATTACCCTTTTAGTGTAAGCGAGTGTTATGACAGTGCAAAAAAAAGAAGAAAAAGTCAGAGGTAGGCAAGTAAGAAAAAGAAACAGCCAAATCTGGGCTACCCCAATGCCACTAATATGCCCGCTTACTTTTCTCTCTTTGCAAACCATCTTTGTTTCTCCCACATCCGTGCAACACTTTACATATTGCCTTTCATTCTTTACATTTCTCACTACTCGCTTTGGGATTTTCTTTCCAACAACCGTGACTTTCACTATCTTCCCCTTCCTGTCCGTTCATTCCTCCTTCATGTATTAGTTTTGTGATGCGATCCTTGTTCAATCTGTCTTGTCAATAGCTTTTGTGTTCACTCCATGCTCATTCAGCACCTGTTCATTGTTGTCTTGAATGTCTTTACACCACACACTTCTTAACCATTCCCTTCCCACTCCATTCAAATTACTTTTATGTTTCTTGTGATGTACCCAACTCATATCTCCATGGAACTGAGTGGAAACACATTCTTGAATACAATACAGCTATTTTTGCTTCTTTGGCCAAATAATCTTTCCTTGCAAGTGATTGCTTAGCATATTCTCACTTTCTAACAGCGTTTGCACATCTTAAAATTTCTCCATACATTTTCTCATTCTAATAAAGTACAGGTAGTCCTTGCTTAACAACGGTAATTGGGACCAGAATCTTTGTTGCTAAGTGATGTGGAAATAAAGCGCGATGTCACGTGACCATGCTGCTTAGTGACAACAGTTCCAGTTGCTGTCATTAAGAGACTCCCGCGCCATTGTTGACTGCTTATTGGAAGCCGGCAGCGAAAGTCACAAATGGCGATCTGGAGACCGCAGGATATCGTAATTGTGAGACAATTGCTGAGCACCGGGATCATGATCACATGACTGTGGGGATTCTGTGACTGCTGCAGCTACAAGGACCGGTTATAAGTACTACTCTTTCAACGGCATCATAAGTTCAAATAGTCGCTAAACAAGTGGTCATTAAGCAAGGACTACTTGTACTCAATCCATTCCCTAACCACTAAAATGAATACATCTTTACTCAGTGGAGGCAATTGCCTTGAATCCTATGAGTTTGCAAACTGTAAAAAGTTACCCATCATACTATATAATGATTCGTTTTGAATATATATGCTTGCATATAAGCTGCATGCAGAGCTTGTTTCACCTGAATCTAATGGAGAGGAATTCAGGACACTTCTTGATGCTTAGAAATTCTTAGATATGTGTCTTTTTTTTTTTTCATTGTTGCAGTGGCTGAGTGTGTCCAAAAACCATCATTCAAAAGGCGATTACCTTTGCAACCTTGGAAGGATCATGGATCACCTGGCTTCATTCAGCAGTAAGTAATGTTAACTTCTGGGATTGCAAAAAACTCTTTAGAAGCCATAATGTTGTTTAACCTATGTTAAATAGGTTAAATTAGTAGGCATTTAGCATTAGACTATGTGACTTGGTGAAGTCAGGAGACAAATATATGAGGCACAATATCCTTCTGTTGTGGAGCAATGTTAACAGTGGAGGTTGTGGGTTCTCTGTCTCTGGAGGTTTTAAGAAGAGGCTAAACAGCCTCCTCTCAAGGATGGAATAATTGGTTTTTCAGCAAACTGTAGAGCGTTGGCGTAGCCACTGGTATTGTCCCTTCCAATTCCACAGTTCGGTCATTCAGAGGCAGTTGCCCACTTTTTTACACACCAGTAAGGCAGATCAGCTCCTCTGCTTTCTGTGAAAAAGAGCAGAGGCCAGACATCTTAGAGCTTAACTTGCAAATTCTTACTTTCAAAAAATGCCTTCAAACTGAGTAGAGGAAAGATATGAACATAGCTACCTCTTAAACATTAGTCCTATTAATCTGTTGTAGCAAAGGCAACCAAGAGTATTATGGCGTCTTAACTACACATATTTTATTACGATATAAACCAAAGGCATTCCAGCTGGAAATTCTACAAATGTTAATCCTGGAAGCAGGATGAAGAGGGTTGGCTTAAGCTTTATCAAACTCAGGTTCTCTTTATCAGATGCATGGAGTATTTTAGTAAATGTGAGAGTGGAGATAAAGATGTATGCATCTTTAAACAGCATGTCGATTCAAATAAAGTAACCATAAATAGCAGCTACCAGAGATACCCCATTTTTGTCAGAATTATACTGTATAAATAGGAAGTTTAATTTTTACATCTGTTTCATCTCTTCCCCAATAAAACAGCTATTTTTTGTATCTGGTCTACAAACATTTGGATAACCACTAGATGGCAGTAAAGACGTTTGGTTGACAAATAGCCGTACTGTTGTCACCATTCGCTTCCAGGGCTAGGAGCAGACCCAAGGGTGATTCACAGCAAGGAATGAAAGGGTTAAACCTTCTGTTTTTTACATGCTGTGGTCCTCCTGATGTCCACCTTAACCCTAGCTGGCAGGTGGAACAAAATGTTCTCTTCCATCTCATACTGTTGCTCATCTGAAAGTTGCCATTTTCTAACAGAGGAATTTTAAAGGGAGACTCCAGGGTCAAGTTTGTAAGAGAGAATTCTACCTGGGCATGACTAAGGACAAAGGTTTCTTGTCTCGCTACATGTGTTAATAAACATAATGATGCTAAGTAATTATCATTCAACACTGTTGTCATGAATGGTCACATAACTGAATTGTAAAAGACTGCGTAGCTTGTATTTCTTAGTCACCATCAATCGACATCCAGGTTTCAAATGTGTACATACCCATTATTCTGTTAGGGAGGAAAGGAGTTTGCTAAAAGGAGCCTACCCCTTATTTTTGAAATACATATTGGTTTTGCTCCTTCACAGATGACCCTTTTGACAAGCCACCATGCCGAGGGTGTTCCTCTTACCTTGCAGAACCGTACATCAAATGTGCAGAATGTGGCCCACCTCCTTTTTTGCTATGTTTGCAGGTAAATTATATTTACAAGGGGAGAGAACAGCATGCAAGGAGGATCAAGTTGCCAAGTTCATAGAAGCAGATCAGATCCCTTCGCCCCTGGGGCTGCTCTTTATTCCATAGTTGGGCCTGGCTTGTTAAGTGGCATCCTCAAGCAAGAACAGACAAGAATTCTCTTCTTTCTTCCAGAAGAGATTCTTTGTTAATTTGGGACATTGATCATATTCACCTGTTTTGTAAGGGAGAGGGGTTGGCCCCTAAGCTTTATTCTGTGTGCATTATTTCTTGATGTTTTTATTAAAGAATACCAGTAAAAGGAAAGCTCCTGCTTAAAATGTTTCTGGAAATAACAGTGATGACAGAACACCTTTTTCTGTGATGAAATGGTATTGGTGGGAAAGGGAGGCGGGGACCCTGCATGCCATGATTCCTCAAAACTGTCTGTACCAAGAAAGAAGAAGAATAACCTTGTTTTCCAGTGCTTCACAAGAGGATTTGAATATAAGAAACATCAGAGTGACCATTCCTATGAAATAATGGTAAATATACAGTTCTAATTATCTGTCTTGTTTTCATCAGTTCTCATCAGTCTTTATGAGAATGTCCCATCAATACAGGTGTGGGGAATTTTTATGTTTAGGTCTACCCTTTTAAATGATTATTTCACTCCCTGAAAGTGTGGGAATAAGATGCCAGTACCAAAAAAACTGGGAATGGGATTTTCAAAATTCTTTCGGAAGGTCCACAGACAAAATGGGCCTGAGAGGTCTCCTACTAATCTCTCATACCTAGAGAAAAAAACACATGCTGCCTAATTTGGTAGTTTGCCACTGAATTTCAGTAGTTTAATTTAGCAGGAACCACAAAGAAGGAGCTGAGAAACTGTGGGTTGCCCCCACCAGTGTTAGAAGATGTAACAAACCTGGGTTTTTTCCCAACTGGGTGTTCTCCAGATAATGTCGATTTCAACGAACTTCCACAACCCCCAGTTAACATGTCCAGTTGGGATAATCTGAACGAAATGTCCCTTATGTAATGTTTTTGTTCACGTAGAGCTTGAATCAGAAAATGCATTTGTTAACAATTTGTCATGCAGAGCAATTACATTTTCCAACCCATTAACACTCCTAAAACAAATTTTGCTTTATTTTAATGACTCATGCCATGTTCCTCCTGGGATTAGCTGGCCCACAGATAAGTTAGCAAGAAGTTACATTCCATAACAATGCTTCATAGCTAACAATAATTACAGCTTGAGTAATGTTTACTTTGGGTGGCATAATTATTTAAAATTCCTGTGGGGTGCTGTTGGAACTCTGAAATTGCCGGTACATAAGCAGCAGTTTGCAGGTTAAAAAGTATTGATTTGACTGTTCTGCATGTTAAATCTGTTAGTCAGCACTGGACACTGAACCTCACTCTCAGACTTTTTTAGGGGCACTGTGGACAAATATGGATACCATTTTCAATGTCTGCAAGTATGAGAAAAAAGGAAATTCACCTCATCCCCTTGAATAAATTCAAAATTAAATTGAACAAAGCAACCTGTATTCTTGTGATTATAATCTTAAAACTATGTCAATGATATCAATTCAAATCACTCAACCATTTCATTTAAGCACACTGAACTTTGTACTTAACATTCCCATTTAGGTTGTAGTAAATGGATATTAATTTTTTTAAGGTTCTTCACTGTATAGGACAGGAGGGTTTCTAAAAAGTGTCAACCACAAACTAAAAAGCTCAGCTCTCTGACCTTAATTAGTGGATTAGAAGTCTCTCAGGCTCACAGCTGCTGCCTGAAACTGACCAGACCTTAATCAATTTCACACTGGAGGCTTTGGTTGGAAAATGATTTTTTTTTTACTGTTTATTACTATCATATTTGCAAATGGTTGCTATTCGAGGCAGTTGCTAAATGAGGATTACCTCTGTGTGTGCGTGTGTATGAAGAAAGGGGCCCAAAAGTAAGAAGACTAAAAAAAAGTGTGTGTGTGTGTATTATGTGTATGTGTGAGAAGGATCAAAACCTTGTGAGGTACATAAATCTCACAAGTTCTCATGACATCTCATGAGATTTGGGCCATTAAAAATGAGTTAAATGTTCTCCATTTTTTTTAAAATCTCTTTGGTCACCTGTGACCAAACCACACAGCACATACCACACAGTGTTGCCCATCATTTGAAATTGCAGACCTTGTAATAGAACAGGACCCGTCACAAAATTGAAAAACAGAACAAGTTCTGCTTATTCTATCAGGTTAAACATGAATCTTGTGAGAAAGTGGGTGAAATTGACTAAAAGTTCTTATCTCTGTGCTATAATGATTGGGATTCCCTGCTTCTCTGTGGGAATAAGTGAGATATTTCTGCAACTAGAACTTCAGCATCTGCAGAGGTAAGATAACAACTTGCGTTTAAGTTTTTAGTTGCCTGGAAGAGATTAGGATTCAAGGAGTTATTGTCAGGAGATAAGCTTGTCTCATTTATCTCAGAGAATGTGTGTGTGTGTGTGTGTACACTGAAACACACATATTTAGTGGAAGTGCAAATAAAAGTCCTGTCTGCAGGGGTTTCCAGAAAAGTTAGGGGGATTTCAGCAGTCTACACAATTGCAACCCAAAATGATTTCTTTTGATACTTGCTTCCCACTGCAGACCTCTAACTTCCCTGTCCTTGATCCTACTTGGACAGCTCAAGAAGAAATGGCTCTTTTGGAAGCAGTGATGGATTGTGGCTTTGGAAATTGGTGAGAATTGGTGCAGATTAACCTGGCTGATGGATCTGGTTGGGGAATCTTGCAGATGTCAGTGGATACCCAGTTAGAATGGTCATAAGAATGGGACCAGGGAAAAGAGAGCAGGCAAGGGTATTACGGTGGTGACTGGCCAAAGGAGATGTGATGGAGGTCAGAAGTGGCAGCTTGCAAGGAAGGCAACATCAGGGTATGGTACTGATAATCACCTTCCAGTATCCTGTGCTGTATTTCAAGGCCTGTTAATCAGAAAGCCTGACTTCCAGCTGCTGCTATTTAATGCACAGTCAGCCTGTAATAAATTGAATCATGAATGAGAGGGCTGACCTTGCTTGCATTACCTGGCTGGACCCAGGAGGGAGAGTTCCTTCCTTGGAGATCTTCTCTGACAGGTCCCAGGGTGGAGGTGTCATCTGAGAAACCCTGATGGATTCCAGGGCTGCTCCTCCCAAGATGGCTGGTTGTGAGAGCCTATTTGTGAAGTTGGGCTGTAGGGATCAGAGGGAATGGTTACCTGTGTACCAGCCTCTTTGCTTCCCAGCCACCTCCATACCTGAGCTGGAGTCCATGGCTAGGCGATGGTGGTAGAGTTCCCCAGGCTTATGATTCTGGGGGACTTTAATCTGCTGTTGCTGGGCGTGGACTCGGAGGCAGCTTGGGTGTTCCATGGCTGCCATGGACTTGACCCAAGTTATCTCTGGCCTGATTCATGGAGTTGGAGTCACACGTTAGACTGGTTTTTATCTTGGAACAGTGGTGATGTGATCTGGAGTTGGGGGATGTTACCATCAGTCCCTTGTCATCAACAAATCACTCCTTGTTGACCTTGGAGTTCTTGAAAGCTGCCCCCCACTACAGGAAGGTGGAACCTATTTGATTGGTCCACCCCAGGCACCTGACGGACCCTACTGGGTTCCAGAGGGAACGTGGGTTGTTTCTGGTGCTCTGATCCACAGTTTAACCAAGGTCTTAGTTGCCACTCGGAATGTGAGGGAGACAGTGGCTTTGGTTCAGATTGTGCCTGTGCAGCCTCTCTGTGTATGTCGATCCTGGAGAGCTCCTGGCATGGTCCAGAAGAAAACTGAACGTTCCAGAGTTCTCCAAAACATTTCATTTCTGAATCAACAGGTTTTGCACATCTCTAATCATCACAGTTTTTATGAGCCAAGCATGTTATTGGTCCTATTTCTTGCCCTCTCACAGGCATGATGTAGCCAACCAGATGATCACGAAGACAAAAGAAGAATGTGAAAAGCATTACATGAAACATTTCATCAATAACCCCCTTTTTGCATCCTCATTATTACATCTGAAGCAGACAGAGGAGAAACAGCACAGCAGCTTAGCGATTCCGTTTTATGGTAAGTGCCAGTCACAACGAAAGATGAAAGGATTTCCTGTTCTTTTCTTCTGTGTTTGAAGATCAGGCTTTAAGGACAGGAATGGAGTTATCAGAGACAAATCGGTATTAAAAGCCAACCTCCCTAACCTGGTTTTTCCAGGTATTTTGAGAGGATCCCTGCCAGAATTCTCAGCCACATTGGCTTGGGATTTTGGGAGTTATAGGCCTAACTAGGTGGCACCTAATTAAGTAATTCAGTCCAACATATTTGGAGAATTGCAGAAGGAAGGTTCGTTGGGCTGACCTCAAAACCACTCAGGAGCTACAGAGTGGTGGCAGAGAATGGTCCAGAATGCCACAGTGCAAATAATCATGGGCACATCACAGTATGCCCATGCAACATCTCTCCTTTTCACACTGCATGAGTAACCACTAGGCTTTTGGATACAATTCAAGGTTCTCGTTGCCATCTATAAAGTGCTACATGGCATAGGGCCTAGATATTTCCCAGACTGCCTCTCCAACTATATCTACCTTTCCAGGAGGATTTGATAGGTTTTGGCATGCTTTGGGCCCTGCCTATTAAACAGTGTCACATTATGAGACTCAAGGTGCGTGCCTTCTCTTCAGTCGCACTTGCCCTCTGGAGGTATAGATTACTTTTTCTGTTTAATCGTGTTTTTCCCCATTTTTATTACTGCCTTTTAATTAATTATATTGTTGCTTTTAACTCCCCGTAAGCTGAGTTGCATGCAGGTGGGCAGCTATAGAAACTGAAACTATGAATAAATAAATTATAGGAAACTTCAGCATACAATTAACAAAATATTTTTTCTTTTTTAAAAAGTCAGTTTTCCTCTACATCAGTGTTTCTCAACCTTGGCAACTTTAAGATGTCTGGACTTCAACTCCCAGAATTCCTCAGCCAGCATGCATTCCAAAGCTTACTAAGAGTAATAGAGAGCAGTGTTTCTCAACCTTGGCAACTTTAAGATGTCTGGACTTCAACTCCCAGAATTCCTCAGCCAGCATGCATTCCAAAGCTTACTAAGAGTAATAGAGAGCAGTGTTTCTCAACCTTGGCAACTTTAAGATGTCTGGACTTCAACTCCCAGAATTCCTCAGCCAGCATGCTGGCTGGGGAATTCTGGGAATTGAAGTCCAGACATCTTAAAGTTGCCAAGGTTGAGAAACACTGCTCTCTATTACTCTTAGTAAGCTTTGGAATCTGTGAAGGTGCAGCTTTTATTTTTTAATTGCTTATTTTTTTTTCTTAGCATCTGAAGATCCTCCCCGACCTACCTTTGATTCCCTTCTTTCCAGAGATATGGCAGGATACATGCCAGCAAGGGCAGATTTCATTGAGGTAGGAATTTCTCTGGGCTTACTTTTGTTTTTCCTATTTTTAATTTATGTATGTGTGTATGTATGCATATAAATAACTGTTTTATGATTAACCATGAACAAATATAATTTGATCTCAGATGTTTACTAGAATGGACAGGAGCCATTGCAGCAAGCAGCACATTGCAGCCATGCAACTGAAATGCCCACTTTAAATTCCTCATCCTGGTGCTCTTATTTTGACAAGCTACAAGTCTCTTATAAGAACCAGTTCCATGTACAACACTTTGCAGTCATTTAAATAAAAAGTAAATTTCCTAGTAGACTAGATTTTTTAAAAATTCATTTTACCTCACAGATTCTAATTTTGATGCCACTTTTTAAAAATGTATATTTATTAATGGTTTTCATACAATAAAAAACAAAAAAGAGAAAAAAGAAAAGAAATAAAAATAAGGGAGGGCAAGAAAAGAAAAAAACTAAAGATCAGAAATATATAAATGACTTCCAACCTTCTTTTGAACAGATACAGTGGTACCTCGGGTTACGAACGCCTCTGTTAACAAACTTTTCGGGTTACGACCA